AGAGGAGGGAGGGGCGTGGCGTGAGACCCGGGGCCGTGGGGGGCGGTGTCCTGAGGTCCCGGAGCTCCTGGGGTGCACTGCAGAGCCCGGCTTTGCTTTCCGCAGTGCTCTGCGTCTTCTAGGCAGCAGGCTGTTGCTTTGACTGCCCGAGTTAACTGGCTAACCGATTTGGCATGCTGACGCTTTCTATATAGAATTGAAACCTAAATTTACCTTAGTTTGGCTCAGGAATCTGAATCTGAACAATCAAGTGGAATAGCAAAGAGTTCACTCTCTGTTAGGGGTTTCCAACGTACAGCGTAATTTATGGGGATTTAAATTGTGTTTTAATTAAATTATTTTAATTTTTCTTCTGTAAATCTACAGCTCAATAGTAGCAGAATATAAATTTAAAGATTATTTATAGAGCACTGGTTATATTAGCATCAAGTGACTTCTATAGCTCCCCCCCTCCCCCCAAATCAACCATTAGTAGTTTTAAGGATCTTTATTAGCAATACCAGAGCAATAGTGAGATGACTTATGTAGCTTTTGTTATGTAGGTAAGCAATACACATGACGTTTTCCCTTCATGTATATTTCAACTTTGTATATTTCAAAGTTGAAAATGGGAGATTTATGTTGAAGGCTTGAATAGTTACGAAATATTTCTAAAAAAAAAATTTCTGCGTCACAGAATGCCTATTAGTCCGAGAGAAATGGAAACGAAACAGTACAAGGTTTCATCACTAAGTGAGAAATATAGAAGCTAAGCGGGGAATGTTGCACTGTGTGACATCTTTCCTACCGCAGAATACTGGCAGCAGAAGAAATGTAAGAAAAAGAGAATTTGACCAAATCAGCCTAAAAAAATACAAAGAAAATGGCAGTTCCATTTTTAATTTTTTGATGAAATTCCATAGTATTTTCCGTCGTGGCTGCACCGGTCTGCGTTCCCGCCAGCAGTGCACTAGGGTTCCCTTTACCCCATATTCTCGCCAGCACTTGTCCTTTGTTGATTTGTTGGTGGATCCATTCTGGCAGGTGTGAGGTGATTCCTCATTGTCGTTTTAATTTGCATCTCTGATGATTAGTGACTTTGCGCATTTTTTTCATATCTTACTTGGCCACCTGTATGTTCTCTTTGGAGAAGTGTCTATTTAGGCCTTTTGACTGTTTTTTAATTGGATTGTTTGTCTTCCTTTTGTTAAGTTGTATGAGTCCTTTATATATTTTGGATATTAACCCCTTATCAGATACCTCCTTTGAAGCAGCATGGAGGGACCTGGAGGGTATTACGCTAAGGGAAATGAGGCAGTCAGAGAAAGGCAAGTGTGACATGATCTCACTCATATGGGGACTATAATGAGCAAAATAAACTGATGAACAAAATAGATCCAGAGACATAGGAGCATGTTACAGACTGAAATATCTCAGAGGGAAAGGGGTGGGGGAGAGAAGGTTAACCAAAGAATTTATATGCGTATTTGAATAACCCGGGGACACAGACAATAGTTTGGTGAAGGCCTGGAGGTGGTGGGGGGAGGTGCAGGGTGGAGGGGGTCAATGGGAATCAAAGGGGACATCTGTAATACTTTCAATAATAAAGATACATTTTTAAAATACAAAGGAAATTTTAGTGTAATTAGATTGTGCATTAATTATCTGTTTATTTTCCATTTACAGAAAATTGAATAACCACCTTACCACTTCCAAATAGGCCAGTCCTCTGAGAAAAATCACATATCTATTTTCAGCGTTTCGGTATAGTTTTTGATTGTAGTAAGATATTTAAATTTTTTCCAGTTATTTAATTCCAGTGGGAGATATGTTTAAAATAAGGCTAAATGACCTAAACTGAAATTTGACTTCCAGCATAAAATCTCTGAATGGATATTCACCTAAATGATAAAAGAGGGTAATATTGGATAAATGGGTGGGATAACGCTTCTTTTTAAAATTCTCAGCCAAGGATATTTTTCCAGTGATTTTTAGAGAGCATGGAAGGGGATAGGGGGAGAGAAACATCGAAATGAGAGACACACATTGATTGGTTCCCTCCCACTTGGGACCCAGTGGGGATTGAGCCCAGCAACCAAGGTACTTGCCCTTGATTGGGAATCAAACCTGTGACCCTTCCGTCTGCGACCCAACGCTGTAACCACTGAGCCAAACTGGCCAGGGAGGAATATTGCTTTTTTAATTTATGTTTTTGATTTGAATTATTGCAAATAGATTTTTTAATTAAAAAGAAACTTTAATGGAGTTTCAAGCTTCTTTTCCCCCTTCAAGACCTGAAGGTTTTTAACCCTGAATTTCCTTTTCTTCACTGCTATTCTTACTTTTGTTGTGGGTGTTTATGACTAGGAAAAAAAATTGGTGACAATTGCAGCACTTCTGAGATGAAAAGGAAAGGAGGTGATACCACATAAAAAGAGGCAAATTTAAACTAAGTATTTGTATAACTGTCAAATATTGGGGCCATAAGATGAAGAGCATATAGAAATGAAAACAGCTTGCTGATGGCCCTATTGGTTTTAATTAGGAGAAAAGCTATTATTTTGAATTAGATGCTAAAGGAGCAGGAGGGAAGGAGAAAAAAGCATAGTAGCTAATTCCAATATTGTTTATAATAGGTAAGTGATAAGCACTATCCAAAAGAAGAGGGGATTAAGTTTATAAAACCTTAAAATATAAAAGCATAATTTTAAAGGTAACCTTAGAACAAAAATATGAACTTCCCTAAATGTCAAAAGAGAGAATGCAAACAAAACAGAGTACATAAGTGGATGACTATATGTTTGTCTGTATGAGTATATATAATTTACATAGCATGAATCAATATGAAAGAACTGAGGCCAAGAATATAGACTATATGAATACATATGCATAGGTTTAACTGACCTATAAAAAGAAAAGAATTTTTGAATTGGCTAACAAAACAAAATTCACATTATGTTGTTCATAAGAGCACACCCCAAAGAATACAAAGGGCAGTTTGGGGTGAAGATAAAATAGTGATTAATATTTGCCAATAACATTACAAAATTTACACTAAAGCGGATACAACAGGGGGATGCTAGGAGAAATAGAAATCCAGTAATAATAGAAGCCTTTAATATATCTCTTTCAATCTAAGACAGAGCCAATGGACAAAAAACACAAAAAATACAAGAGGAATATAGAAAATCTAGACAGGAAAATCAATAATATAGAACATATATTTATGAATGTCTGAAACCTAATAAATAGAGAAAGAACCTTCTGTGTTAGTTTCCCAGGATTGCTGTGACAAATTCCTGCAATCTTGGTGCTTTAAACAAAGGAAATTTATTCTCTCGTTTTCCAGAGGCTAGAAGTGCAAAATCAGTTTCACTGGGCCCAAATCAAGGAGCAGCAGGGCCGCCTCCCTCCAGCGCTCAAGGCCAGCATCTTCAGATCCCTCTGTTCCTTGTTTGCACAGACTTCTTTGTGTGTCAAATGTCCCTTAGCCTCTCTCTTACAAAGACACTGTGATCGCGTTTAGGGCCCAACTGAGTAATCTCCCCAACTACAAATCCTAACTTACTCATATCTGAGAGACCCTTTTTCATTATGAAGTAATATTTCCAGGTTCTAGAAATTAGCACCCAATGTATTTGGGGGCCGTTGTCAGCCTACGATACCTTCATTTCGAGTGCACATGGCTTCATGAAAATTGATTGTAACTTAGATTACAAAGAAAATACATTTTAAAAGTAAATAAATTCTAAAGAATTTGAAATAAAATCAGAAACTAATAATAAAGTAAAAATTTGAAAAGGCCCTTTTAAAAACGTAAAAATGTTCTAATAAACGACTCTTGGTTTAAAGAGGAAACACAGGCTGAAACTGCAGGATAACTTAAACCTGAGAGACAGTTATCAGAGGAAAATTTGTACTGTGAAATACTTATCGTATTCACAAACATGAAAAATAACTTAAAACTAAAATCTAGATAAAGAATTTTAAAATAAGTAAAAAGAAAGCAGCAGGTAAGAAGTAATAAAGAGAAAAGAAATGTGTAAGAAAACAATAACAACAAAAGAGTAGAACTACAAATGCATTCAAATGACAAAAGTTGAAAAATTCGCAAAATAAACCACAAGCTACTGTATGTAGTGAGAAAATGAAAAAGGGAGAAAGCATAAGTACACAAAATTAGAAGAGGCAAGGGGAAAATCTACTTAACACACAGAATTTAAAAAATCATGAGAACTATTTTGTACAAATTTCTGCAAGTAAATGTGTAAACTTAGATGAAACTTTCCAGGAAAAAATTTCTGAATTTTTCTTCTTTTAAAAAATGCAACTTAATGTGAAAATGAATGAATGAAGCCTCTTTTGAAATGGAGTGGGGAAGGCCTGAGGGGGGCTCCCATGCACAGGCCTCTGCAGGAGGGAGCTTGCTTTACTGCCCCGGCAGGAGGAGGGAGGTTTTCTCCTGGCCCAGCAACAGCGCAGTCAATGAGAAGCCACAATGACCCCCAACTCTCTCTCCTCTACTGGACTCTCATTAGACGCCCCCACCCCTCCTTCCTTCCTCTATGAAAGCAAGCCCCTCTCCTTTGTTCTCCAGACTTGGGCATGGTTTCGCAGTACTTTGCAATTCCCAAGTTCCAAGCCCTCTGCTCTTCCCAAATAAACTAATTTTGCTGGTAAACAACTGGCTATTTCATTTTTAAGGAAGACAGTAAAATTGATGCCAGTGGGACAGAAATTCTCAAGTAGACTAGTAATTGCTATGGAAGAAATGGAGTAGTAAAAGAGCTTTCCCACAAAAAGTACCAAC